CGGTGAGAACCTGAGAGCTAATCCGAGGGCACATGTACATCGTTTGGTTTTTAATTTCTCTTTTGCGTCTGCCTCCTCTTGCACCCTTTCCCCCCTCTTCGTAACCGGCCGGCCAAGTGGTCTGATGATGGTCTTAACCCGTTCCGACAACGAGTGGCTTGAGTTCCTCACACACATGCACCTCTGTGCCGCCCCGGGCCTTAGCGGGCCCTGGCCCTGTCTTATGTCTGGTCCCTGACTTGTTCCTTATCTGAACGCGATCGGCGGAAAGCTTCGGGAGCTCAGACAAAGCGGTGACTCGTTGACTCTGCCAGATCGCCAATCAGGGTCTCGATCGGCGCTCCAAGCTTTGCCTGCGACAGCTCGCTAGGCCTGTCAAATACCGAAGTCGATGAGCTCATTCCGACTAACCCATCGGATTGTGCAGCATCTGAGGGAAATCTTTCGACCAAGTTGCATGCGCATGTACACGTGCGCAGGCATTCTTCTGCTCTCTCCTCCCCACCGGCGTCTTAAGATCGCAGCAGCTCTGAGCCCCGCCAACGTGAACGTGCTTGTAGTGTCTCAATGCCCTCCTCCCCTTTGACTTTTTTTTTTCGTGCCTCTCCTCTCGAACTCAACCTGCCCTCCGCTCGACAAGATCCTGACGATGACCTGAAGTGGCGTGTCTTTGCACTCTTGCACATCTGGCGCGTCGCGTTGTTAGTCTCGTTTTCTCTTTCGTTCCCAGCGCATCGACTCTCCTCCCCCCTGCCGTGCCCCTCCAGCCGATCCGAACCGCCCCGTCGGCGCACCGCGAACCCTTGCAGAACGAAAGTCGTTTCCCAATCGCGATCATCCTGCGACACTATCTGTGCGAAGATTGTCCCTCGACAGCTGCACCGCAATGGATTCCCAGCTGGTCGCAGCGCTCGCGAAGAGCGATCCCGAAGTCGCTTTTCGCGCGCGACCGAATCACATCCACTCCACCTGGGCCAAGACCTTCTCGTCCCTGCCCGAGCTGTACATCCAGCCAGAATCCCTCGAGGAAGTCGAAAAGGTCATAGACCTCGCGCGGACATGTCGTCGTCGCATCGTTCTGACGGGATGCGGCCACTCGCCCTCCAACATCACCTGCACCTCGAGCTGGCTCGTGAACCTCGACAATTTCAACAAGGTTCTCTCCATCAATGAAGAGACGGGTGTCGTCGTTATGCAGAGCGGCATCAGGCTGTACTCGTTGTGCGCGCACTTGCAGAAGCATGGTCTCGCCATGCCCAACCTGGGCAGCATCAACGAGC